ATAGTTCTCTGACACAAAAAAAAAAAAAAACTCGGTCGTAGTAGATATGGCTCATATCATGAAAAGATATTGATCACTACGAGAAGTAGAACTAGTCAGCTTCATATTATTACAATCAGGAGCAATAAATAAACGTTGCGATCTTAAAGACTTCGTCACCATATAAAACATATAGACAAAATACAATTACAAACAAGAATACACAAAATCTCTTATCTGTAAGTAGAAGTGTCGAAATAAATGTCAATAACACGTTTGGGTAGTAGAAATTCCGAGTCAAATGTAATCGGACGATTGTTTTAAAAGATGTCTTATGCTGAAATGACCGAGCTTATTGCCCAGGGTTTAATCTCATATGGCAAGACCTGTCTCCCCAGAACGCCGGCTTTGTACTCAGTGTTTCACACATAGCACGAAATCAGTAACTTCAATCCTCGGAGATACTTACGCTCTCGTAGGGAACGACCTAGACCAAAAGCAAACCCGCTTAATGAATCCGGATCTGACAAACCCTTGAACTCGGGACAATCTCTTACATGCTCGCTTCCCTTTTTTAGAAGCCAACGACGAGTTCTCAATACTGTAGTGATGATGGTATCACATAGAGTCTGATTGAAAGTTCGATTGGATTATTTTTTTTTCTGTCTGGCTGGCTGTTAGCATTCCTAGATCATACTCCATCACTGAAATAATTACCTGCTGGCATATTGTATGTTTATACATAGCCCTACAAGTCTATGGATAAGGACCAGAAAGGAGATAAAAATTAGAATATTGAGAGCATGCGTCTTCCCTGTGGCTACATATGGATGTCAGTCCTGGACTGTCTCTCAGTCCTTAAAAAAGGGAATAGGGGCTTTTGAGCTGAAATGCTATAGAAAGATTCTCAGAAGATCTTGGATAAAGAAAATGAGAAATATTGACATTTTAAAGGATCTGAAAAACAAGGAAGATTGGCTAATAAACAGGAGAAATATTGACATTTTAAAGGATCTTAAAAACAAGGAAGATTGACTAATAAACAGCATCCTTTCTCGAGAGCTGAAATATTTTGGTCATATCAAGCGCCACGACGGATTGGAAAAAAATTATAGCAGAAGGCAAGGTACCAGGAAGGAGGGGCAGGGGCCGACCGACACGAAGATGGGCACAGGATATTAGTGACTCCTTCAGTGTGAAAGTACATGAGGCGGGAAAACTGGCGAGAGACCTAGTTTCTTTCAGGCAGACTGTGATGAGAGCGACGTTCTGCAAAGGACCTGCTACATGATGATGATGATATATATCTGCTTATGCCATAACCTTTGAAGCAGCCGTTCTCTACCTGTGTATCGCGACCCTTTTGTGATTCAAACAAACCTTTCACAGGGGTCGCTAAAAAACATATTAAATACATAGTCACTGAAGTTATTATAAAGCAACGAAAATAATTGTATCTTTAGGGGTCGCCACAACCTGGAGAAATGTATTAAAGGGTCGCGGCATTAGGAATGTTAATGCTTCAGGTCGCCCCATCCCATTTACCCCGCCTACCCCCTTTTGGAGGGTCTTCAACACCAAATTTTAAACATGGTATTCGAAAGAAGGTAATTATTAAAAGTTATTCCAAGCTGTGGTTTTTTTTTTTTTTTTTGGGGGGGGGGGGGGGGGAATCCTACTAACATTTACTGTTATAGTCGGTACCTCGTCACTACAAATTGTATTATTCAACGACTATCACATTACTGTTTCTTTGTCTAAACTGATAATGAAACGGCTTAACGGTAAAATTAATGTTGATCGTCCCACGGACCGCCCATAATCCCACTACCTCATTTCTAATTGGTAGATCACAAGGTTACGGGGGTGTTCCGCAATGCCGTTGATAACGCTTGTTGTATATTTCAGCACGCCAGCTTTTTTAACACTCCAAAAACATGAACAAACTGGGTCTATCACCCCCCCCCCCCCCCCTCTTTCAGAGAGTACTGCAACCTATGTCACATGGACTCTGTTTCTCGAAATAAAAATGTAAATGCAAGATAACACAGAAAGCAAACAACTGAGCGTCACACCCGTAACATGCGGGAAAGCAGACCAGCCCAACAAACTTATGAATCAAACATGACCTACTTTGTTTGGGGAGACTAACTTAAACCTAACCCTGTTTACCCATACTACCCATCCACCGTGAACTGCAGGTTTTTGTATATTTGAGTTCTGTTTCCTCTCTGTAAGTGAACTAAGTCATCAAGAGCAAACTTGACAATTTTCTCGATATCACTGTATCTGTTGCCTCTATTTTTCCGCAGTCCTGTCAGTATTTAAAAAAAAAAAAACACTGGCAAAGTGGGAGCTTATGTGCGATACAACATGGTTCAGAGCTCAACGAAGCCAAACAAAAGGCAATCCTGACATTCATGCAGGATCTCCGGAAACCAGCTAACGATCCATGTCATACCTCTACACCCAAAAGGGGATACATCAAGACCTATAAGTTGATGGTAGGAGTTGATGATAGGAGCTGATGATAGGAGTTGATGATAGGAGTTGATGATAGGAGTTGATGATAGGAGTTGATGATAGGAGTTGATGGTAGGGGTTGATGGTAGGAGTTGATGAAATGAGTTGATGGTAGGTGTTGGTGGTAGGTGTTGATGGTTGATGGTAGGTGTTGACGGTAGGTGTTGATGGTAGGTGTTGATGGTAGGAGTTGACGGTAGGTGTTGATGGTAGGAGTTGATGGTAGGAGTTGATGGTAGGAGTTGATGGTAAGAGTTGATGGTAAGTGTTGATGGTAGGAGTTGATGGTAGGAGTTGATGGTAAGAGTTGATGGTAGGTGTTCATGGTAAGTGTTGATGGGAGGGGTTGATGGTAGGAGTTGATGGTCGGAGATGATGGTAGGTGTTGATGGTAGGTGTTGATGGTAGGTGTTGATGGTAGAAGTTTATGGTAGGTGTTGATGATAGGAGTTGATGGTAGGAGTTGATGGTAGGAGTTGATGGTAGGTGTTGATGGTAGGTGTTGATGGTAGGTGTTGATGGTAGGAGTTGATGGTAGGAGTTGAGGGTAGGAGTTGATGGTAGGAGTTGATGGTAGGTGTTGATGGTAGGAGTTGATTGTAGGAGCTGGTGGTTTTTTTATATGATTTTTGTAAAGTTCGCACCAATAATTCTTTCTAGAAATAGTTCATTGTTCACTATTTTTCCCCTCGCAATACCCTATACACTCCACAAAAGAGATGGGAGCGCAGTAACGACTTTATCAGAAAATAAACAGATCAAAGAAGACATAAACAATTATAGCTAATCAATATCTCTGCCATCAATATTTGCATACACAATATTGTGTGCAAAACCCCAGTTGGCTGATGAAAAGATTAACGAGCAGACCCTTCTGAAAACGATTTTGTTTAGAAAAGATTATTATGTGAAATCAGAAACAATTTTCCTTGAATCTTTCTTCTTCTTACTCTCCTTCTCCTCCTCCTTCACTTCCTCAGTCTGCTCCCCCCCCCCCCCCCTTTTTTTTTTCTCTTAGTCTTCTTTTTCTTAAGTAGATTTTCTACACAGGTTCTACACAGTAAGCAGTTGATAATGGTCTCTTTATAATTATAATCGTAATTATATTAAGCAGTTTTCTACTGCGATGAATAGCGTAACTGTAGAACAATCTTGCACAATCGATTATCTTGCTTAAGTGAACAATTCCTTTACCAACCGGGGACAACAGAGTTGGTAAGGGTTGCATTTTGTGTAGTTACATGTGCCCTCATTGTATCATCCTAGAAGATTTAACGTTATAACCGCTTTTGCAATGCCGCTTTTTTGAATTACTGATTTAGGAATCGACATCATATCACACCTTGTGTACCCATAGATGCTCCGTTTCCCACAGCAAATGTCTTAAGCTGTAGATGCTAACTGTTTCAGTAGCCAACTGATTATACACACGTCTTTCTCGTCCTTTCATTCCTCCCTCCTTGCCGGATCCACACTTAATTCCTCGTTCAAACATTCTTGCACACGTTTATTTATCTCATCTCGTGTCATCTGGCAACATTCAGGACGTGACTCTTTGAGTAGTGGATGTGTCAAACTTCAGATAGCTAACCTAGAGGGAGAAAAACCTTCCAGAACCGCGACTCAGATACATCACAACCCCCACCCTCCCCCATGCATATAATAATAAATGTGCAGCTCCGTGGTATAGAATGTAATGTATGTTGTTAACAGTTTCATGAGCCCCAAGTACTCGGCATCGTTTCCTTTGGTGGGGGGGGGGGTGTTAAAAATACACGTTCTCGTGATTTTAGGACAATAGTAAGAGAGCTGCACCGGGGAAGGGACTAGGGTCTCAACAAATAATATTCCTAAAGACAGCAGTCATAGACTGTAGCTAACCTTCACTGTGGAGACGGCACCTCATTAATTTATAGTGATCACTTTTAAAGTCAGCACGAATCATTTGTCTTCACATCTAATAATGCATTTTATTAAAGTCTAAGCAGTTAGTTTGGTTGACAATGTTTCTTATCGGGGCTAGTTGTCTCTTATCACAGTGGTTCTCAAACTTTTTTTCCCCACGGCACCCTTGTCTGGCTAAAAAAAATGTCGCGGCACACCTAACCTTAAAGCGGTTGAATACTTAGAGAAAGAAGGGAAAAAATTGCAAATTTAATGTTCATTTGTCTTTAATGCGATCATTGAAACTGTTCGGATGAATTTTGTATTATATCGTTTTCATTTTCACTTTTAGAAATTATATCCATCATGGATAGCCCTGCCTGAAGAGGTAAAGCGCGGGGTTTGAAAATTATTTATCCCTTATGTACCAAATCAGAATTATTGCATTCCAGATTTCTCTGTAATTTGAATGGAACCAAGCAGCTGTTAGCAACGCTTCTATGACATTTAACGCATTGCCCTTCCGGTGCCTGTTCGTTGCCAACCGAAACAAAGCCAAACTGTCTCCTTCATTTTCACCTCTAGGTTTGACTACCAAACATATCGACCTAACCATGTATGCCTGTGCAATGTTCGTTCAGCCGACATCTCGATGCTTGAGCATCCTTAGCATGCACCAAATGCCAGCTTCTCAAGTTACAGTGGGATCTCAGCTTTGAATCTAGAATCATCCAGATTTAGCAATACATCATCCCTTCTTAGACAGATCCGATCTTTCCAGACCAGCACAGTTCAGCCGATATTGATCAAGCCGCTAAATATATTGGTGCTGGAGCAGCAACTGTTGGTGTTGCTGGCTCAGTTGCTCGAATTGGCAGTGTCTTTGGAAGTCTGTTGATAGGCTATGCCCGCAACCCCTCATTGAAGGGTCAGCTTTTCTCCTTAGCCATCTTGGGGTTTGCCCTGTCCGAAGCTATGGGTCTCTTCTGTCTGATGATGGCCTTCTTGTTGCTGTTTGCGTTTTAACAGACTAGTCTCGGACCTAGACAAATATATTATTTAATACAGTTTAAGCAAACAAGAGATACCCGATGTAATGGTGTGTTTAACAAAGTAACAAAAAATATCTTGTTCATGCTTTGAAAGAACGGTGCTTCAGGCAACAGTTTTTGCATGGATTTTTCAGTTCTGTTTTCCGAGGAAATTCGGGCAAATTGGAGTATTTTATATTGACTGTAGAAAATAAATTGTGATGTAGATGGGGTAGTGTTTGTGACACAGGCTAGAGTCTGGTGTAATAGAACATTGGTGTCTCCGCTCGGAGCCGGCTGGTTGTTGTGTAGCTATTACTACCACCTCTTCTGTGGAAATGGTTTTTGTGTATTTGTTTTAAAATTCATGCCAATAAGTTATTAAACAAACAACAACAAAAAGCCACCAAAGTGAGGTAGCTAGGATCATATTTTGTTAATTCTCCTCGGATTTTCTATTTGTCGTGAGTTGTCTTTTCGCAAACTGAGGCAGACTAGCTTTGTTTAGGCTCCCTGGTGTCTGCTGGGACAATGTATCCACAGCTTTACTTGTTGACTGCACCTTACCGAATGCAGTTAAAAGATCGGTCGCAGCTCGAGATGAAAGCAAGGACCATTCTTAGAGCAACGGTTGGAATTTAATACTGTATGAACCACGGCTGAGTGTGAAACAAACAATAGGCTCTTATCGACAGCGTTGAGGAAAGACAACATAAATTTTATCTCTTTAGTATCTGCATGCCCTTCTTTAATACTTTCACAATATTTAGCCGATTTTTATTTGTAAAATTACTGCCGCGGCACCGTAGGCATACGCTCGTGGTACCTCGAGGTGCCGTGGCACCCAGTTTGAGAACTGCTGTTGTAAGTTGTTTAAACCAGGTGTTCCCAATCTTCATATCATTTCCCTTTGCCCATTCTGCTAATATTTCTCCTTTGTCATTTAATGGGTTAGACTTATTGCGTGAAGTAATTAAACTTTCATAGTCTGCTTTACTACCAGAGTCATTTCCTGTTTTCCATTTGAGGCTCGGTCAACTGGGAATTGTTGTTCAAATATTCGCTGTAGGGTGGTTTTTAACCCAGCGATGGAGATCATAAAAGAAGATGCAACATCCCTGCCTGCTATTTAATCAACACGTTTTAAAATAAAATGTGTTTGATGGGTGACATACTCGTTTCTTGTCTATTCTTTCCTCCTCCCCCCCCCCCCCCCCACTTTTTGCCTCAGGTCTTTGTGTCTATGCCATTTTCATTTTTTTATTTTTTGTTTGTTTTGACAACGACAAAAAACAAAAATACAAACAAATATTATTATTATTATTTCGAGAAGTTCAAATTTGCGGATAATTGTTCAAGTGTATTTCCCTAAGGCATCTGGTAATTACTCTCTCTCTCCAGTGAATGGATTATACAATTAATGTCCCCAACGTCTTTGGCCAGTATTAAAAACCAATCAGGACTCGCAAATAGTAATGTTTAACACCTGACTACATTCGAACTGACATTCTTTGAAATTTTCATCTTAAAATATTCAGTTGTCCGGATTTTTAGCGGTAAGGGGAGGGGGTGGCAGAATAAATAACCTTGAAGGACAAAGAATAAATGTTTTCAATCATCACAGAGGAAATAACTTTGTAATATTTTATCAAAGCTGTTTCATGCATTTGATATGATATGAATCTCCACCCAGAGGCGCTGTCCAAAACAAAAGATTGGTCGGGGGGAAGGCCCAGTCCTGTTACAAATTTGGAAGCTAGGGGACTTATGCGAGGATCGGGCTGTGGGGTGCACAGGGTGAGGGTTCGGCGAGGGGGTTGTACCTTGAAGTATCAGGTGCCGACTCCACAGTGGAGGCTAGCTAGAGTGGATCTAACACCCTCTATCACTTGCCTTGGTTGTACAATCTCTCAGCCTGCCGTTCGTCCATATCTTGATGTTGTCCTCCCACTTGTATTGTTGTCTACCGCTTGCTCACTTGCCATCTATCTTTCCCTCAAGTGTGGCTGTTACTGTCATTGTTGCTATTATTTTTTTTTTTTTGATGAAGTAATAAGAAAGTCATTAACACATACTTGAGAACATAATCTATATATGGTTAAGGAAGACACTTCGCCCCCTTACAGATTTTCTACGTTAGAGTAGGCCAGGAACCTCGGCATTACGAAGCTCGTTCGCAACGCCTAAGCCACAGACGCTGACTTCAGCCTTGTACACTGTTGGAAAGGAGACCTGTATCGTCTGTATATCTAAGTTTCCATCATCACAGGCCTATAACACTTCGTGTTGTTGGGTGACTTGATGATGTTTACTCTAATCATCTTTAAAAACCTCTGTCATTCAGACGCAGATCAGCTTTAACCACCTCTGTCGATCAGATGCAGATAAGCTTTAACCACCTCTGTCGATCAGACACAGATCAGCTTTAACCACCTCTGTCGATCAGATGAGATAAGCTTTAACCACCTTTGTCGATCAGACGCAGATCAGCTTTAACCACCTCTGTTGATCAGATGCAGATAAGCTCTAACCACCTTTGTCGATCAGATGCAGATCAGCTTTAACCACCTCTGTCGATTAGATGCCATCAGTGGATGAAGCGTGCGTGTAGCGGCTCTAGTCGTCGCTTACTTTACGTTGGTGAAGAAAAAATATATTACTATTTATTATAATAATATCAAAGACAAAAAAGAATGGAGATACTGACATTTTATCAGTACATCATTGAAGACTGGCTAGTAAACAGTAACGTGTCTGAAACTGAAATACAGTGCGGACTGCTTCAAGCGATCTTGAATGTGGCAAATTTATGTTGTGAGGAACAGTTTGTTTCTACGTGGCAGTTTTTCTAGCTTCAGTTCTTATCTAGAAAATAGAAATTTGTGATAAGAAGAACTATTCCTTGGGTACCCGGTGAGTTCTCCTTACTAGGTCTGCACTGTATTTTGGCCATACCAAACGCCATGGTGGATTGTGGAAAAAACAGTTGCAGAAGACATGGTACTTCTGTCACCAGCATGAAGATCGGCATCGGATATAAGTGACACCTTCATCAGTAGGAGATCGCACGAGGGGAGGGGTGGGAGCTAGCGAGAGACTGATTTTGTTTCAGGCAGACCATCATCAGTTCTCGAGATGCCTAGTGGCACATGAGGCTTCAGAGAGGACTTTCCATGCTTTCCTGTCCTGTGCAATCTTCAGTGCAGTTTTCCCTGTCAAAGATGCCGCACTCAGGTCACTTTCCATCGTTCGTCTCCATGTTGTTTTTGAGCGCCCCTGTTTTCTCTTTCCCTCTGGTGTCCATGTGAGAGCTGTTTTGGCAGGTATATCAGAATTCATTCTCATAACGTGGCCAAGCCATTTCCACCTTCTCTTGGTAATCATACTGTATAACGTTTCTTGGTTTGTGGCTTGAAGTAGTTTACTGTTTGAGATTGTATCTGGCCAGAAAAAGTTGATAATTCTACGTAGACATGTGTGGTGGAAGGTGGACAGCTTGTGTGCATCCTTTTTGGTCAATCTCCAGCATCAGGCCGACCATGATGAGAGCAAGTTGACCATTGATAAAGGAAGTTACACGAGATAGAAAAAGAGGCATCAGGTGGTCACTCAACTCTGTTTTAGAGGATTTGGTCTATGCAGATGACATCTTCCTTATATCAAGCCGTCACGTGGAAGCTCGGGAAAAGATTGAAGGACTATCAACAACAGTCCTTAAGATAGGACTCAAAATAAACACCAGTAAAACTAAAGTAATGAGAATTAATTACAAAACAGAAAATCCAATTATTTTAAAGGATGAAGCAATAGAGGAAGTTGACGAATTTATATGCCTCGGAAGTAAAGTTCTCCAGATGGAGATTCTGAAAGGGATGTAACATCAAGAGTAAACAAAGCAAATCAAGCATTTGCAATGATTAACATGGAAGTCAAAGGGATTTAGTTTAAAGACAAAACTCAGAATATACAAGAGCAACATTTTAGGAATACTATTATACAACAGTGAATGTTGGAAAATGATAGCAGGAATTACAAATAAACTTAAGACTTCAACAAAAATTTTTTATGAGAATCCTACGAATATTTGAAGTCAAACAAGATCACAAATGAAGAACTGGGGAGGAAAACAGAATGTGCATTACTTGCAAATGTTATCAAAATAAGACGATGGACATGGCTTGGTCATAATTGCAGAATGCCTTGTGACTGGCAAAAACAGCTCTCCGGTGGACAGTAGATAGAAAAAGGAGACGTGGACGACCTAAGGAAAACTGGAGAAGGACAATAGGACGGGAAATAAAAGAATGTAAACTGACATGTGATACCATGGGTAGAAAAGCAGCAGACCGGCAGCAATGGAGATCACTTATGTATGGCTTATGTCTCAACAGCGACATAAAGAGGATATAGATGATGAGAGCGACGTTGTGCAAAGAACCTGCTGCATGGTGATGATTTATTGTTACTGTTTACTATTTATTACAAAGAAAGCGACTCGGTTTGTTTCTAATATAGCGAATATGCCTACGCCAATTATGTAGAAACTGTAGAGTGCAAAAGCTACCGTTTACTATTGCTACAATGCTAACTGCGCTTGTACATTTCCAACAGTAAGGGGAGAATGAGGAAAGGAGTTACCTGCTAATGCTTACAAAGGCGAATTTATCAAACCTCCTCATTCGATGCAATTAACTTGTTTTCAAAGTTTTAGTCCCGCCGAATTAGCCTAATACTATATCTTCCTATTTTTCCCCCTGCTTTTTCTCCTTGCTCCATTTACTGACCATGTTGTATCGTTCTCGAGAGGTTTGTAGATCGTATTATATGTCTGTACTATTGCATTTCTGGCCTTTTCATTGCTGTTGAAATAAGGTTAATTGTTGCCAATGTGTCGTCTAGATATGAAATCAAATATGTACCTTCGGATCCACAGGCGAGGGTGCTGACTCTACTGTGGTCTTCAAATGAACAATACATTATATAACAATTACAAAG